CTCAAAATGCCAACTGTGAGAACTCAGTGGAAATTAAAGTATGCTTAAAGACTTGTACACAGCCCTCTAAACTGCAACCCAAACATATATGTTTAATCAGGAAGCTAAAATGTACTATTTATCCATAAGTGGAATTAATGTAACAGATGTGACAGCTTCTACCCTGAAGAGACTCTTTAGACTTCACAAATAGAAATTATATATGACTTTCTTTGAGGAACAAGTTGAGGCAGATAAGTTATGGGAACAAAAGCTTCTCTTTAGACATATTTATCTTTGGTAACTAACTATTAAGAGAGAGAGTAAGTCATTTACTTGAACGATTAATGAGCATACTTCAATATTATGTTTTTATTAGTCATTGAAAAAGCACAGCAATTAATCTTTAATAAGTATTCAAAGAAAGGTTTATATTTTCATTGTTATTTATAAAAAATGGTTTGGGGGCCTAAAAAGTGACCTAACAACAAGGAAAAACTGTGTCTTTTTCACTTCATGTCTCTTTTAGTGTTCTCCTGCAATACTATCTACACCCTAGTTACCCTACAAAAAAATCCCTTCTTAAATCCTGGCTCCCTGCCTTCATTGGCCTTGGAGAACCAGTAGATTTTTAACATTGTAGTTATGAATGGTGAATTCCTGCCCATGCTGAAGTTAATGGGAGTTCTGACATTAACTTCAATAGGGCAAGAATTTCTCTTCAAGCAAATGAACCTGGTTAATTAAGTGGGGAAGATACTTTTAATCATCTCCTTTTTTGTTCGTTTGAGGTGTTTTTTACTTTTACTCAGCTCTAAAGTATAATCTATATTCCAGTTCTACAGCCAATTTAGAGTAAAATATATTTTGCTACTGAACCAATTACATATGGTTAGCAGCAAGAATTAGTATTTTCTAAAGCAACAAGGTAAAAGACATTAACAGGAATAATGTTAGATTCTAGGATTAAGGGGAGAGATGATGTAATTTTTAAAACAATAAAACACCATTTTTTCTTTAGGCCACTGACACATGTGTACTTGGAGTGGGTTAAGAACTCCAATGGCCAAAAGGGTAAGGGTTGACCCATGGAAATCTATTAGGGTGCAGACAGAAGTGACCATTTTCACCTGATCTGGGTGCAGAAAGCAGCCTATAGCTGAGGCCAAACACAAGTGCATGCAGACTGCTTCAAAAATGGCCAATCAGGTGAAAATCTGAACCCTCATTGCATGAGGGGCCAGATGACGATGTTTCAAAACAGAGTGTCTTCTGTAACTTGTGTCTGTGCTGCCTGCCAGTCTGTTGCTGTTTTCAGAATGGGGGTGGGGAGGGGGAGAAAGGGAGTGGAAGAAGTTTGGCCTGGGGGGTTTTCAGTCCTAGGTGGAGGGTGGGGTTGGTGTATTGGAGCCCCCCCACCCCTGACGGGGGGCCTCCAATTATCCATCCCAACCTCAAACACTGGGCTGGGGAACACCTAGAATGAGCTCCCTGTGCTCCCTTTCCCCCTTCCCATTATGAAAACTTTGCAGCCTCCAAGAGAGGAGGGGCCATGTCTAGGGGAAACTAACTGCAGGCTCCCAGCCAGCAGCTAGATTCCCGTCCCCCCGGAACCAAAAGTGAACTTCTGTTAGGCCCGGAGGGGTGGGAGGGTGGAGATTGTTATAACCCAGAATGCTTCCTGCAAAGCATTCTCAGTTACAGTGAGGAGCTGCACTTCTGTCTGCACCCTTAATTTATGCTTAACCTGCAAGGGATATTCTTCCCCTCCCCTTCACTTCCTACCCTCTCTTAGGCTGCTGCCAGTCTCTGGAATTGAAAGAGTGAGCACCTTTCTGGCACTGCTCCAGCTGAGTTTCCTCGTCAAGGAAATGAAGATCCCGTGCCTGTTATTCTTTTACCTGCTTTTCATTCCCTGGTGCTTAACAAATATATAAAGATTTACATATGACTTAGAAGGGGCCTCCCAAGACATCCATTTTAGTTCTCTGCATTTGCAGGCAACCATTTATCTAAGTCCTAAAAATTATCCAGACCAACTAACCACACACTACCATAAAAGCACATAATAAAATGAAAGACACTGTGCAATATGCCACATGTTAAAAAACCAGGACAGACAAGGACACTAACAGTGCCCTACCACTGCAATGGCAGAGAAATCTGTTAATATATGCTTACAGGAAGACCATATCTATGTTATGAAGGAAAGCAAAACTCAAACACCTTGCTAATCTGACCTGGGGAATTACCAATGAATAATTTGTAGTCCTTCTTAACGCCAGATCTGGCAATCAGTTTGATCCTGAGCAGAAGAGCAAGACCACCCACTGAGGTACTTGAGAGGTTTTTAAATACCAGCAGGACCTCCAGTGGGCTCCAGTCCGAACTGCCATATTTAGCTGTGGCCAATGTCCAATGCTAAAAAAACCCATAGGAGCCTATAAAGATTCATGAGAGGAAACCTTTTTTTCATAACTTCTGCAGACAGTCAGCAAAAACCTTGAAGCTTTGTACCATCTTGTCCAGACAGAGAGAGAGAGAGAGACCTCTCAACTCCAACAGGGGGGGAAATACTAGAATACACATTAGCTGTACTGATTACTGATTCAAGAATCCCTGTTCTGTCATATCTTCCATTAAATTACATACCGGGCTGCATTGGTAGGAGTATTGGCAGCAGGTCAAGGGAAGTGATTCTTCCCTCTATTCAGCACTGGTGAGGTCACACCTGGAGTACTATGTTCAGTTTTGGGCCCCCATTACAGAAAGGATGTGGACAAATTGGAGAGAGTCCAGTGGAGGACAATGAAAATGGTTTGGGGGCTGGGGCACATGACTTGTGAGGAAAGACTGAAGGAACTGGTCTTATTTAGTCTGGAGAAGAGAAGACTGAGAGGGGATTTAACAGCAGCCTTCAACTACCTGAAGTCAGGTTACAAAAAACATAGAGCTAAACTGTTCTCAGTGGTGGCAGATGACAGAACAAGGAGCAATGGTCTCAAGTTGCAGCAAGGGAAATTTAGGTTAGATAGTAGGAAGAATTTTCTTGCTAGGAGGGTAGTAAAACACTGGAACAGGTTACCAGAGAGGTTGTGGACTCTCCATCCTGGAGATTTTTAAGACCCAGCTAGACAAAACCTTGACTGGGTTGATCTAGTTGGGGATGGTCCTGTGTTGAGCAAGGGTTTGTACTAGATGACCTCCTGAGGTCCCTTCCAACCCTCATTTTATATGATTCTATGATTCTAACTGGCTGAATTTCATCTTGAAGTGATTCAGGTTCTTGTCCCCTATTGCTTTGCTCAGAAGACCATTCTAAAACTGCAGTTTTCTAATAGTACTGGCACTGATTGAACTTTACTAACTTTGAAGAGTCCCTTTCAAAATAGTAGCATGAATACTCCAATCAGAAAAATCACTTGAGCACTTGGGATGGTGGCTAGTTTAGGCATAGGGAAAACATCTGCATTTTTGCATTTTAATGCTTTGTCAGCAGAATAGCTGAAGACTGGGTCTGCTTGCGGATATTAAAAAACCAAAAAACCAAAATGGCACCTTAAACTTGGTGTGTTCCCACACCAAGCCCTGCACATAGCCAGAAGAGGCAGCACCTTAGCTGGATCCAGTTTGCCTGACATCTATATAGGTTGGGTGCTTTAGTGAGGCTTTCATGGTACTTTTATCTAATAGCTGATTGAATCAGCTTTAGCTAATAGCGCCAAAAAGCCCTGCTGCTGAAGCACCCAATCTATACAGATGTTGCAGAGCTAGGTCGAAGTAATGTGCTGCTTCTTCCGCTAAAGCACTTTTTTTTTTAAAACATCTGCAAGCAGCCAAAATGTCTTACTGTAGTGCATTTATTTACTGTGAATTTACTGTGCTAAACACACAAAACTACTGAAAGCTTTGTTAATGTGGTTTCAGAAAGTTTGCAGACTTAACTGATCTAAGTCAAAATATTAAGAGGAACACAAATCAAGTAAATAAATCTCCAAATTAACTATACTTTCCTTTTGTGAATGGTATTAGTACAGGAAGAACTGGTTCAACTGAAAGGTTTTAATAAGGCTGCTAAGTAAGGCTGTGTCTGAGGCTTCTGGGACGAGTGTACATGAAATAGCCTTGCCTTTCCTTCCATAGTTAGAAACTGTATCCTTTCTTCCATTTGGCTTTCTCTATACCTTTCTCTATAGCTACCTCTGCCACCAGTTACTAAACTTTCTGTGTGTCCAGGAAGTAGCAAAAGGCAGGGATCTACAGCCCAGACTTGTTGCCAACACTGCCTTTTGTGCCAAAGAATGAAAATCCCCAAGACAGTATTTTCTTCAAATAGAGAATGAGGAAACAGTCTTATCCCTGAGTCTCTCTCCTCTCTCCCATTCTTTCTGCTTCACAGCAGAGTTTCTATTTAAACTTTAGTGTAGGTGGTGACATCTCAACTGGCAAAGTAACAACAGTGGATCTGCTGATTTTTCACCAAAAGCTAACATGGAAATACTGCAAATGAAACAAGCTTTCTAAGAGGGTTATAAATCTGGACAATTCCACTTACCACTCAAGGGGTGAGGAATGGTATATTGCTTCTTTTTACTGGAAATGAAATTAGAGGAAAGTTTGCGAGCAAGAAGAGCTCCTTGTTTCTTTCCAGGGCTCTCACTGTGCTGGGCTCTCCTCATCTGTACCATGTGTTCGAGTTTTTTCAACCGTTCTTGTGAACGAGAAATAAACTTTGGTTTATGGACTACTAGAGCCTCCTAACAAAACAGAGAAACCATTTTTTAAAAAATGAGCACTATAAAAAAGACAGTCACGTATCAAAGGTGTTCTAGTAAGAGATGCTTTTCAGTAGTTAGGGTAAGCAACCTGCTTCCATCCATATTTTGCTTTGGAAAATTTGTCAGATTTACTCTAGGAGCAAGAGAATATTCTGCACAATTTCAAGCAGATTTATAATAGTGGTCTTGAGTTACATTTTTTTTTTTAAACAGAAATATCCTGATAGAAGATTTTGACTTTTGGTCTCTTTCTCTGGCTTGCTCTATTTTAAAAGTGTGTCATGTTATTACATGCTTTTGTCATCATGAGCAGTTCATAAACTTTTTTTTTTTATTTAAATCTCAAAAAGGAGAAACAAAAAGAAAATGTGCATGAATCAGCGACTTCACTGGTGCCTGATCCTAATTGGGCACTTCTATGTGTGAAATTGAAACACCTGAATACACCCTGGTGCAGTTTGCACTGGAGTTTATTGCTCTTGGGCATTGCATTTACATGTGTACCCAGGGTTGCAGCACATTGAACCAAGTTATAGCAGCCCTGGTTAGCAGGGTACCCTGGCAGTTAGCCTGCCAGCCCAGGGTTGCTCCAACCTGACTCAATGTGCTATGGAGGGGCGGTCTGGGGTATGCACATTTCAGTGTTGGGCTAGCCAGCAGGCCGCCCCCCCAATTTTTCATGCATTTTCATACCTCAGCCAACCTCATCAGTGCCTACCCAGCATCTAAATAATGACACTGCAGAATAGCACTTGTGTTTCCAAGTACTATCCTAGAGCAGCATTTATTAGTTTACTGCAGCCTAATAGGGCCACATGTGAGGATGCTAAGACTTTAATGTGAAGTTATTTAGTGAATTCCACAGTAAATGTCTCATGTACATGCGTCCATTCAGTGCTACTCAACCAATGAGTCTGAGACCTGATAAGCATGTAGGTCTATGCCACTGCACATTGGTGATGCATAGGGGGTACACACAGGTGCATGCGCACCCCCTGAGATCATCTGTGCACCCCCTGGAAGCACCAGCTGCAAAACCAGAAGTGCTGGCGGAAGTGCACTTCCCATTTTGCTGGTTTTGCCACTGGCTCAGTGATTGGCTGGTGGGGGACACCCCCCCAGTCAGCAATCAGCTGTGGGGGGACTCCCTCCTGGTCAGTGATTGGGACCCCCGTCAGTGATTTGGTGCCCTGCCAGACTCAGGTGGCAGCAGTCGCCTATGCCACTGCACCAAATGAAATAACAGTAAATTCTCTGTGTTTCTAAGGTCTGACAGGAGCTTGAGTAGGGGTTACCATACATGTTGGGTAGCCATACGTGTTGCTGAGTAGGACTCGGAAGTTACAATGGAGCCAGCATGTACTAGTAATTAACTGTGGTTGAGAGTTGTGTTTGGACTTGTATTGTTTGGGGATTTGTTTGAATAATCTCCAAGGTGGCAAATGTTTGAGGACCAAAGTGTTCAGTTTAAAAGAATATCATTGTGAACCCTGAGCTCCTGCTTTGCATGATACCATTGGGCTTCTGAAACTGTGGAAACAGTACTTATTCCAGATAGAATCCAATTCCTTGCATGCTTTTGCAGGCAAGATGATCTAGTGAATCATCCAACAACAGATGCAAGCGACAAACACACTACTGAAAAGGGGAACAGAAAAGGAAATGTGAACTTCCGCCCTCAGCAAGTTCCCAGGAAGCAACCATCAACCATGAAAAATCAGTCCCAGAATTAACAGTTAGCAAAGAAAACATTTGATATTTTACCCTGAGAGTCAGTGGGCTTGATGGAATGTTCTCAGGCTCCGAGCAGATTTCTGGCTGGGTGAGTGCTTCTCGCTTCTCATGAGCAGCAACTGGGGAGTGAGCTGCAGATATCGTTCCCCCTTGTTTTTCTCTTTTCTTGCATTCCTTTATTTTGTCATCTGAGCCACAGAATTTGTAATCACCTGAGAGAGATTTAAAAGTTCATTAACGGTGCATGGTTAAGTTTTGATTGGGTTCTGCACCTCATTAGACAGGAAAGGCAATTTCTGAAATAAGAATGCCACCATATTATTAACAGGCCTCATTAAGCAGAACAGATCAGACCTAATCATAGGTGCTAGTCACTGCCCTGAGACACAAGAAGCATCTTTCACATTAAGCAAGAGTCATGATTAAGCACAATTACACCATTTGGATACTTAGCTCTGTTTAATGTTTGCTTCCTATGAAGCAAGACACTTCCATAACACATTGACAACACGTAGAGCAAAAATTATTGCACTGTAACTCCCATACTTTGAAGACAATTTAGATTTATTGCACTGATAATGGAAAATAATATATTGTTATAGAACTTAATTGCATATCGTTTCTCTTGGACCACACTGAGCCTTTGGTAAGAATTTGTATTGTTTTCTCAATGCTAATAAAAGTGTTTACTTTCTTTATCCTGTTTCTAGGCATTCACACCACTCTGTAGTGCTGTGCCTCTAGGAAAAGCTAATAAACCAACTGTTAAAATGCATTTCAGCAAATGTTCTCAATTTAGTAGGTCCTGTAATCAGATTTTTAAATGATGTTTTCATTTATGATCATATTTTATTGCTCTTATGATCCATCTTTCCTGAATATCTCAGACCCAAAAGAAGAATTGTGTCCAAAATGCAGACAGCTTGCAAAACAGTTGACAAGGTTTTCATTTTGAATTCAAAATTAATCTACAATAACAAATTAACTTCAGAAAAAACCCATGTGTCACTCTTAAACAGTGACACTAATTACCTCTTTCATGCCAAATAATATGATTTCAGGAATGAAGAATCTGGGAATAAAAGCCATTACTGTTTTATTTCTATGTATTTGTTACAGCAACCTGAAAATATTTTCCCCTTTGTGACATATTGTAAACATCATGCTGTGCTTTTAAAAATAACAAATTTATCTATGTTATTGAGTATATCTAATAACATCTAATACAATCTTTATTCCTTTCCCACATATTAATTCTTTGCTTTTTTCAAGCAATCTTGAGGAACATTTTGAAACCTATAAAATTAATTTCTTAACTAAAAAAGGTCTAATTTTTAAAGGTGATAATTACTTTCAGCTATAAAAGCTTTCAGTGAGATGTGTGAATGTTGTTCATGTGTACAACGCCAAGTTGCTTCCTCTTAGTGGGTTAATATGGATTTGGACACATAAACATAGGCACTGATTTTGGAAGACTGGCCTCTGTCATTTAAACAGATGTTATATTCTGTAGTTTACATAGGATCATGGCTTTTTCTCCCATATACATGAAATACTGTTATCACAGCGGTACCATTACATCTGTTTTAAAATGCCTGAGGCCAAAAAGGCATTCCCAGAATAACTCCTTAGAAGCAAATGGATACTAGAGCCAAATACTTACCAAGTATATCTCCATTATCTTGACCTCTAAGTGTCATTCAGTCAAAGGTATTTGAGTGCGTATGGAATGAAAAACTTGTGTACAAAAGCTAAAGTTTAAAAGTTTTTTTTCAGGCCTGTATTTGGAAGATGACAGGTACATACAGACAGCCTCTAAAACAATAGTATTACGGCACATGCAAACGTTATGCTTAGACTGGTCTAAGTGAACGTAGACCAATTTAAATCTGTAACCATACAGAAGTTCAGTACACCTAGACTGGTCTAAAAATGGTGAAAGTGAGATAAGATGGGGTGCCCAACCCTTGGTCCACAGGCCAGATGCAGCCCACAGAACCATTGCATCTGGCCTGTGGGGATCCCCATGGGTCCAAAAATCTGGCGGAAGGGGACCAGTAGCCATTAATACAGCCACCCTCCACTTTGCCAAATTCCCAAACACCTTTTCCCTGGGGACTGGGTTAGGTCTGTCCCATGTCACCTTTCCCCTGCAGGACCAAGCCAAGCCCTTTTTCCTCATGGACAGGATTTGACCTGGGCCACGCCTCCTTTTCACCTGTGGGAATAGGTAAAGCCCCTTCACCCCCATGGGGCTTGGTCATGTTCCTCCCATCCTCCCAGGGCCAGGTGAAGCCTCCTTTCCCCACTGTGGGACTGAGCTCAGGCTGGGCCCTGCTTCCCTCCACATAGCCAGATGGTGAGCACCATGCTGGCCCCGGGCACCAGATCAGAACCACCATTCAGACCATGCACTGCCCATCCAGCCCAGTGGGGAAAATGTTGAGCGCCACTGGTCTAAGATAGACCTGGTGTGAAGTATACTCAGTTCAGCTCAATTCAGGTTAGACTGATGCATTGAATTTGTGTACTGTTTCCCTACTAATTCAAGTTAGATTGCTGTTCGCCAGCATCCCAGCCTGTCTTGCATCGCTATCCTTCCTTTGTAGGGAGGCTTGCTAGCACTTAGCCTTTTCTCAGCTGCTTCAGCCAAGTACCCAACAGCCCCTGCCCCCAGGCTCTCCCAGTGCCAAGTAAGCACAGCTTCTCTCCCCAGCCCTGCCTCCTGCCTCCAGCTATCTGTCAGCCAGAGGCAGGCAACAAGCGGAAGGGAAGTGTCTGTGTCCCTTGCATGAACCCTGGGACTGGAGTCCCTGGGCCATATCTCCACACCCCTAACACCCTGTCATGGAGCAGCCCACAATATACATGCAGACCCCAACACTGAGACCAGGAGAAACCCCTGGCCAGGCACAGGCCCAAGGACCCCAAAGCTAGTACCACACACCTGACCAGAAAACTCTGTGTCCCCAAGCTCGGATACAGGCCTATGGACCTCAACCCTGGCACCTGCACACCCAGCCAGGGATCCCAATGCCTCTGTGCTAGGTCACAGTTCTCATGATCAGGGGGCAGCAGGGCAGGCCCTATGAGGAGAGGCTACGGGACCTGAACCTGTTCAGTCTCCACAAAAGAAGGCTGAAAGGGGATCTGGTGGCTGCCTATAAACTTGCCAAGGGGGACCAGCAGGCAGTGGGAGAGTCCCTGTTCCCCCAAGCACTACCAGGGGTAACAAGGAACATAAGTTGACTGACAGTAGATTCAGGCTAGATATCAGGAGGCACTACTTCACAGTCAGGGTGGCTAGGAGCTGGAACCAACTTCCAAGGGAAGTGGTGCTCACTCCTACTGTGGGGGTCTTCAAAAGGAGGCTAGACAGCCACCTAGTCGGGGTCATTTGACCCCAGCATCCCTTCCTGCTCATGGCAGGGGGTCAGACTTGATGATCTGCTCAGGTCCCTTCTGACCCTACCAACTATGAAAGCTCCACAGACCATGACCCTGGCACCTGCACTCATCTCAAAGGCCAGAGCCAGACACCTTGCCACCTGGACCCCAGCATAGACACTCCCCAAGTAGCAGCCAGTGCAAATGGCTTACCTCTGGTGGGTTGGGGTGGTAGAGGGGAAAGAACATGGGGACTGGGCTGGCATGAAGGCAACTCTGTCTCTGTATCTCAGACACTGCTGGCAAGTACCCAGGCCATGTGCATCTGGGGTGCTGCAAGGGATTTTTAGCCCACAGCTACAGGATCCCAGAGTACTGGGAGCACTGAACATCTAAACCAGGGCAAGCAGACAGATGCCTCTGGAAACTTCAGGAGAAGATGAGGTGTGGCCAGATGCCTTGGTATTGCAGTCAGAGAACACCAGAAATTTCCAGGCTTAGGGTGTTGCCAGAATTATGGGACATCTGCTGGAAACTCCTGGAAAGTTCAAGATCATGGAGTGACCTGGCTAGTGGAGACCCAGTGGAGACTCTGGAGCAGGGGTAGCATCCAGCTGGAGTGAGAGGGAGAGCCATGTGCCAGGAACTGCACCTACATGCACCCATAGTTCCTTCCATGCATGCATCCACCCATCCACCCACCCCTTTGCAGCTGGACCATCACCCACTCATGGACACTGAAAACCCACGGGCACCAGCATGGACCATGGAAGAACATGTTTTATCTTTCTCCAGTACCCAATCCCAGTCACACAACTGGGACTACAGGGATGTGAGGGAATCTCATCGCCATCTGGGGTGAGAATGAGACCCAGCACCAGCTCCACAAAAGGCACTGCAACAGGGATGTGTTCAAGCACATTGCCTAACAGATGTAAGCTTGGGGCCAGAACAGAGAAAGAATGTAGTGCTGGGCCAACAGAAAATGGACAAAGAATAAGTACAAACACATGCATGACACCAGCAAAAAGTCCAGAACCAAGAGGCAGAGCATACCCTTTTACAAGCAGCTGTTCTGTTTCTTTGCTATGGACAGGGCCATCACCACCCCCCACGCACGACACCACTGGAGGAGGGAAGGAGTCACAGGCAGGGACCCTACCACAGGAAGAGGTTCAGGAAGGCCCTGGGACAATAGAAGAATCAGGTGCCCATAAGCAGGTCCTCAAGGGCCATGGGGCACAAGGTCTGCTGCTAGCAGTGGTCCTGAAAGACTCCAGCTTCTTGGTGCTAGTCCTCAGATCAATATAGGATCTGGGAGCAGAATTGCACCACAGCTCCCTTGACATCTTTTCAGGCATTGTTGAGAGTACAGAGTATGGTGAACCATAACAGGGTGAAAGCTCTGATGCCATGGACATTGTGACCCAGGATCTGGACCCAGAGCCTGAGGCCAAGCCCTCTACCTCATGGGAGATTCATAGATTCATAGAAGTTAGGGTTGGAAGGGACCTCCATAGATCATCAAGTCTGACCCCCTGCATAGACAGGAAAGAGTGCTGGGTTCAGATGACCCCAGCCAGATGCTCATCCAACCTCCTCTTGAAGACCCCCAGGGTAGGGGAGTGCACCACCTCCCTTGGGAGCTCATTCCAGATTTTGGCCACTTTAACTGTGAAGAAGTTCCTCCTAATGTCCAGTCTAAATCTGCTCTCTGCTAACTTATAGCCATTATTTCTTGTGACTCCCAGGGGCGTCTTGGTGACTACAGCCTCACCAATTCCCTTCTGTGCCCCCTTGATGAATTTATAGGCTGCCACAAGGT